ACGCGTGCCTCACACACGACTACGTGGCACCACAGGTGTGAAGGCTTCTATACTGACGGCTCGGATCCCCCGTGTGACTGTCATAAAGAAGACACCTGGTGGGGGAGCCATTGCAACCTGATTCTTATTTCTGTGAAAGAACGAAGTATTTTACCAGTTGACGACTTTTCAAACCCCGACTCTCAGCGCGTCATGACACGCCCAAGTGCACCAGATCTAGCAGAGTGAAGAATGTGCTGACTACCGTGGAGATCGATTGCATAGGCTGGGCCTCTCGCGCAGCGGTTAATGCAGCGTGTATGACTGTGCGCAGGCGTGCCAATAACAGGCGTGGCAATAGGTGTAGGATTATGTGGACGCAGCGACGCCCAAATAACGCGCGTGCCGTGAACCGATCTCACATTATTTTGGTCCAACGTAGCTCGTTGTGCGGACCAAGTTAGGACTGAGGTTGCCCCAACTCTGGTGGTCGCTAGCCACGAGCACTACTTCGTTGGAAAAAATGTTCTATCCAATGATATACAGTAGATTACCTATTTCATGAAATGTCAACCGAAATTCTGAAATGTACTTTCGATACGAACACGTTAAATAAGTATGACTGTAGTATTGACTATCATGCAAATTAATCATAATATATTTCAGTCACACAAAGATGCCGGCTTTTGAACGAACTTCCTTTTGACTACCCGCAAGAAGCGTGTTCTGCAAGAATTGGGTACTTGAGTAGTATGCATTTTTCTTATTGATTTTCACAGCCCTGATAAATTCACGTATATTTTATAGGAAAAAAAGCACAGAAATATTCTGCCAACATGCTCATATGTCGAGGTGCTAAGATATCGTTAGACCCATAATTGTGTCTTACGGGAGCAGTGTTAATAGGGGTTTCATGGTTGGGTCATCACAGGAAAGAAAAAAAAATGCATTGAAAAGTAGAGCATAAAAAGGCAGAAAATGATAGGAAATAATTACTTCAATTACCAAAAAATTGCGCGCAATAATTATAAGGACAAATAGAACCAATAGGAAACAAGAGCTTCGCAAAAATACCTGCGAATAGGCTACACAACAATATGGACTCTACATCGAAATTTAAAGATTGAAATAAAACCATGAAAGATAGATTTCTTCCTCTTCTTTTAAAACTCGTAATAGCTTCTAATGCATTTGGGCAGATATCGTAGTACGATAAGCCGAAAAACAAACACATTTCGCTTAAAATATTAAATCAAAATTTAAAGAAATTAAACTAACTAAACTATAAGTAAAATTAAACTAAAATAAAGCTAAAAAATAAACGCAGCAAGCTAAAGAGTTCCATGTTGCCGGGTGCAGCAATAAGCATGACTAGGCCTACTAAAATGCATCTAGTAGTTATATAAGTATAGTTGCCTAACAGCCACGGGCAACTTAACAATTACCGAATTTCCACTTACAATAGTTTACCCTCAAAGTGTAATTGCCGGCGGGCAGTCCCTCACTGAACACCCCTTCGGCCGGGACGTCGGCGTAATTCTTGCGGAAGTTGGGTAGAGCAGCAATGCGCATCCAGACAAGTAGCTGGGAGAAGCCACGATAGGCATCCGGACTGTATTCGTAAGCCGGCTTTGGCCAGCTGTCAGGCTTAATTGTTCCGACCCAAGACGTAGGCTTGCCGAATTTCTTATCCCGATCGGATGGCCACGCAATGTTTTTAAAAGACATTGGCAAGACCTCATTGACAGGCGTTGAACTATCCTTCTTAGTGACTAGCTTGACCTCGAAAGTGTCTAGAGCGGAGGAAAAAAGCGGTATAGTGTATACTGCAGGATATATTGTTAGTGGAAGGTACTGAAACAAATGAA